AGAATTCAGAAATGTACCAAAAATTAGCCCCTTGAATTAGGCAACCTATACTGACAGACTGTCGGACCGGTTGCCTGTCCGTAGGCGACACTTCCTAGCGCCGTCTAACATCTTCCAACATTTTCTGATACCTGTACATGGGTACCAAGTTTTGACATGTAACTTCGGGTAACGCATGCATAACACAATGACTATACCTTTTATTTAAAATTACTTTACGAGGTACATTTATATACATAAAAAATGTATTACTAATACACTTAAGCTTACACAATATGGACATACTCGTGCAATAACGTAATCGTAACATTTTCTTTTCTCCATCTTCATCTTCGACGTTAGATTCTCGTTTTCATATCTATTATTATTATTATTATTATTATTATTATTATTATTATTATTATTATTATTAATATTATTCTGCTTTCGATGCGAGTCAACAATTTCTTTTTTTTTTTTTACATCTAACTTGTATCGATTTTCTACGAACGATACCGGAATGTTTCAAGTTTCTTTGTCCGAAACACATAAAACTCTCTCATAATTGTTAACAATTTTTAAACGATCATCGCACGAGAACGTAACCAAGGAGGACGAATAGTTCGGTCGAATCGAGTCGAAAGAATGTAATCAGGCTAAGTGAGACTGAGTAGAGGGGTAAGGTTAACGTGAGCAAATTGAGAAATTGTAAACGGACGATTATTCGCGAACGAAGTGAAAGTAGAGATAAACCGTATCGATGGCGACACTAAGAAGCAAAATAGAATTGTGTACGGTAGTGCCCGAATAAATGAACAAACATCGAGGCCGAAGATTCTCAATTAGCCGTAACTGTTGGCGAATTCACCCGAAGTATCAAACTTTCTCATCTCCAGCTACATGTAAACAAGCCAGGACTGAGCGCGACAGGTTTCGTGGCCGGTACTACATGCGTTCTCGGTGGCCCAAGCTTAACTTCTCGAGGGATGAATTATTTTATTAGATATAAACAAAACTTCAATATTTAGATGTTGACATAACTGTTATGTCATTGGAAAATTTATTTGTAAATATTTCCATGCGATATTACATATAAAGGAAGTCGGGAACTAAACGTACACGTACGTATCAATATCCCTCGAGAGGTTAAATCACGGATATTTAACTGTCGTAGGTAGAAGAGTAGACGACGAATCGTAGGATTGTTCGTGTGAATTCGTGCTCGCGACACGAAACGACCAAAGAATTAAGATAGTTGAGGCTTCACGTCCCGATTACTTCATGGTTGATATTAACAGAAGCTTCTGGGTGTGAGCTGTGCCCTTTGGTTACGATACTCCAACGTTTCTTCTTCAAGGATCAAACGACACGAGAATATCGATATATAATATATTTCATTCGATACATCAAACGCCATGTGCATTCTGCTTCAATTGAAAGTAATCGAAGATAGCACTTTTTCCAAAGGACGATACTCGCAACCGGAAGCCTTGGTTGGCATCAACCATGACCAAAGAATTGTTTCGTACTTGATATTTTCATAATTTTTGGTAAAAAAATACGGGACGAACACTTGAGATTCTTGCGAATACACGCAACATACGATCCATACATATATGTATATATACCTTGTACTCGATGCCCGTATATACGCACACGTCCGACGTATATTCGTATACGTACGTTTGTTTACAAGCACGCACGAAACCGCGGAAATCTTTTGTCAATCGATCGATTCGTTCACGTGACTCCGTGTTCTCGTAAAATGCACGACACAAAAATAAATGCTCGTATTTCAATTGTATTTCTCTCTCTATTTTTCTGCGTCATACTCGCACACGCGTACACCACACACACACACGCACGCACGCACGCACGCACGTACGTACACACACACACACAACCAAACAAACAAACACACACACACGACGAACGCTCTTGCTTGCACTTACACCTTTATTTAACAGTAGCTCGTTAAATTTCATTTTTTTTTTTACAAAATATCACAAAAATCACACCAGCCTTTGTTCGCGGTAAAACAACCAAACGTCGCTACGCCACCCGAAGTAAAAATTAATCGCTACATTCTCGCGACACGAGACACGAGACACGCGAAACGCGAAACGCGAAACACTTGGTTCATTGCTTCTCGTCAGGTGTATCGTTTCTTCTGCGAATTCTTATCGCGCTCTGGTAGGATCGCTTCGATTAATTCGTTGCAGAGATGCCCAAAATTTAAAGGTGGCATTCGTAAAATGTTTCATTCTAAAATGAAGTTTGCGCGTTGAATTCAAAAACCTTTAATTTTTATTTAACGATGGACATCGTTTCTCGTTCGATAAAAATTGGGAAAAACAAACTTAACTTATTCGTTAAACATCGTCTTAAATCGTTGAAATAAAATAAATAAATATAACGGATAAACAAATTTCTATCTAAATCTTTTTACTCATCTCTGTTTCGTAGTTCCGTCGATATGCAAATTTTCATTGAAATACGAAAAAAATTGAAGCGTCCCAACGTACGATTGCGTCCAGTGTAACGTAAAATACGTAAAAAAAAAAGTCTAACGCTACGTTGGTCTTAAATAAAATTTCCTCGACGATTTTTATCATTCGGACGCGCAATTTCTATCGATGCGTTCAGAGTCTTACGAGTAAGATACTCTTCGTTACTTTTTTCCGATTTGCATAATAAATATGTTAGAATAAACTAAACAAGTGCGTGGAGCGCGAACTCTTTACTTTCGAGTCACAGGGCGCGTAAGATCGTTTCGAACGTCTAGTGTTTCGGGACGACCGACGGTTCGCAAACAGGTACAATTTTCTTATAGCGCGTTTCTTCGAAATTTCTCTCCGATAATATCCGTTTGCGCGATTGGGACGAAAAGGTGGACAACACGGAACAACGTTTACCGTGCAATACTTGGAAACTTGTAGCAACTAATAGTACGTTCCATTGAACGAACTGGGTCCGAATAAAACCAGAGCTAGACGTTATTCGAATAAATTGAGATTAGGCTTTGGTTAGTTTTCATTGAAATTCCTAGTACGATGTATACGTTCGTTCGCAAGTGTATGAAAAAGAAAACTGTAAAATGTGTACGTAAAAAATGTTCCATGAGTGAAAGAGATCGGGGAATGCTGGTCCAATGGGACGTACTATAGAAAATAGAAAGTACTCGAAAACATAAGGTTTGTTCGTACAAACGAGAGAAATACTTGAAAGGAGTTTTCGCGCGCGCAAACTGATCGATTTTACAGACGAGTCTGAGCACCTTTGCTCCGGAAACTCTACCCAATCGTAGCCGATGCGATGGACAAACACGCAAAGGCTCTCAATGGATGGTAAAAACGATACATAAAACGCCCGCTTTAATTGGATATGATTTCGAGGGTTAACGATAGTAATCGATTTAAACGAAACGTTGCTTTTCTTTCTCTAACGGCATTACTCGACTTCGATTAGATGACATTCTCTCGATAGCATTTGGTGTACGGGGTGTATCTGCTAGACCTGTCTCCAAGACCGTAGAAAAAACTGTATCGGTAGCTCTGCAAGGTTCGGATCCCCTCGCGTTTAGTCGGCTGAATAACAGCGAGCATTCGCAGCGACAGGATCGCGTGTCGGCGCAACGTCGCGATTCAACGCTCGATGGCGCTAAAATAGAGGCGCGCAAAAGCTTGGGTAACGACGCCGACGATGCAACGTCGGACAGCGCAAACTGCACCTGTTTCGTGGCACAGTGGCTCTGTAGCTCGCCAGTCGCTCCCTACGACGCGTCGCGAACACGACGATGGTCGTTTCGCGACAATTTCCAAAGACGATCGCACGTACCGCTAACGCAGCCGACTACGATTTCATTTGGCGTCGTCTTGTTCCATGGGCTCCTCGGAAACTTCACGGGAATGTTCTGGGGTAGTCCTGAAACGTTAGCGAAAGAATAAAGTAAGTAAAGAGCGAAAAGAGCCAAACGAAAAGAGAAAGACAGAACGGTGACTTACGTTAAGTTGGTAGGCTGCTGCATCGAAAGAGAGGCCATCGCGGAGACCGTCTCCGATTCGTCGCGCTCTTTCTGACCAGCTTCGATCGCGGTCATGGGTACAGTGTGAGCGTTCAGCTTGACGCAAGGCCAGTGCGACATCTGCGTTCAGACAAATGCAATCGATACGTTAGAAAATGCAATCGAGAATGTAATCTCGTCTTCTCGTAGCCGTACTTTGGCGCGAGAGCTCGTACCTGAACGGCGATAGTCTTTTGCAGCGTGTCGATCGCGTTCTGACAAGGTGGCCTGGTCAGTTCCTCTTCTCTCAATTGGGAAGGTTCGTCGCCCAACAGAGCCCTAACGCACTCTTGCGCGGAATCGCAGATGGCGGCCAAGTCGTAGCCGCCTTCAAGGGCAAGGACAACCTTGCCGTCTGCCAGTCCTAGCAGTTGTTGCGTCAGCTTTCCAAAACAGGCTGGGCTGACTTTGTAACCTCCGAGAGGCGGAGGATGACCAACGGCGGCATCGAATCCAGCCGAGACTAGGACGATGCTCGGATCGAATGCCTTCGCGATTGGCATCACTATCGTTCGAAACGCAGCTATGTACTCCGCATCTCCCATCGGCGGATTCAGGCCTCCCGACCAAGCTACGTTCACGTTGTAGCCGAGGCCCTCGCCTGCCCCGCACTCGGTCGGGCCACCGGTTCCTGGAAAGAAGTTACCTTCGTCGTGCCTGTGTATCGACAGGTATAGCACACGCGGATCGTCGTAAAACATCTGTTGCGTTCCGTTCCCATGGTGGACATCCTACGAACAGAAAAGAAACGACGCCCGCATTCTTCTACGGTTCTCTGTGTATGACTGGAGCATGACAAGGTGATACTCGAGGAGCAGACCCGTGGACGGTGACTCTTATCGCGAGATACTACGATCTGTCCAGAGATCTACTAGTCCCCTTTGGACTAGTAATCTTCCGATACGTTACGCGCATTGAATATAGTGACTTTCGTAAGCTCAACCTCCTTGGACCAATCTAACGTGGCAATGTACCTCTACTATCCGCTAGAGTATTTTGCTATCGAGAGGTATACCGACAACGATTTCCCTTCGATACGCGCGATGCTCGACCATCCTCGACATTCAGACACGCCACAAGCCCTGTTCGGTTCTCGAGGGAGGTTCCCGTTCGTTTCGACGCGCGCAAGGAGGACATGGAAGGAGAGGCGAAAGGATTCTTACCCAATCCAAGATCAAGATTTTCCGAACATCGAGCTTTTGCTGGAGCAATCGCGCAGCGATCGCGATCGAGTTGAAGAAGCAGAAACCCATGGCTTGATTGGTTTCGGCGTGATGGCCCGGAGGTCGTACGACGGCGAAGCCGTTCTTAATGTCGCCCATAGCGGTTTTTAGGGCCAGATCGACGACGCAGCCTACTGCCATTCTGGCGGCCGGCGCGGTATTCAGTTCGTTCCACGTAGTGTCGGAATCGACGCCCACTCCGCCGCAAGGCAGTCGAACGAAACTCTTGATCGGTAGTTGAGAGAGCTTCGATACGTCCAACTTTTGACGGTTCATCGGATTCGTCCCTGCGCGAAGCACACTTTACTCTCTGCCCCTGTCGTTAACGGGGGAATCGAATCGCCGAATGTGACTGGGAGAGAAGAGACTGGTGGAAGAGGAACCAGGAGACGGTGTACTTGGTTTGGTTGGACGTAGGTACGAAGAACGTCAAGTAGGAGGAATAGGATCGGAGCTACGAGGGAAGAACGGGAAACGGGAAAAACTGGCGACACGGTTCGTGGAAGGACTCACCGAAGAGTAGAGCGTGCGCCTCGCTGTGACACGTCTGAATCTCTTCGAGGGTAGCTTTACGCGATCGTATCCGATCGCATCTCTGTAGCAAACCCGTTTCTGACAGTCGGGCCCAGACGCTCTGCAACCTTCCGCCGTGCTCGGGATGACCACGTACCGTCTCCCCACAGACGCACGCGTGTTTCAGCATCAACGGATCGTAGGCCAAGCCAGTGGTGGGTCGGTGGGTGGATGCTCGAGCGAATAAATCAGCGGCGGCGGATCCGGAGCCCTGGGGTCCTGCGCGACGAGTGAAAGGTTACCAAGAGTACGAGTAGAAAAGCAAGTTTTGCGTAACAGTTCCAACATCTAAAAGTCTCCAACTCTCAAAGCATCACGCTCACCTAAATGCACCAACGGACTAGAGAGCGCCCTGGATAGCGGCCTGGCGCACTGCTGGCCTCCTCTACTCCCGCTGCCGCCACTGCCCCCGCTGTAGGCCGTCGACTCATTCGAGGCTTGCAGCGTATGCCTCATCATCAAATCTCTTTGCTGTTGCAGGAATTGCTCGCGATCGCGCTGTTGCTTGGAAATTTCGCTCTCCTCCGACAGATCTTTCTTTCCTCCCGTCAGATCTATCACTTCGGACTCTTCGGACTCGGGCGCCTCGTCCAACTGATTCGCCTGGCCTCGGGACCCGACCCGCGTCAACACGGTCTGACGAATCTGTTGTTTCAGGTAATTGTGCGCCTGCTGTTGGTCGTGCAGCTGCTTCTCGGCCAGGTACTCTTCGTAGTGCGTCTGCGGAGCCATCATGCTCCCGCCTTGCAGCATCGGGTGTCCCAATGGTAACGGAGCGGACTGGGTTCTGCCTACAGGAACGAGCAACGATCATTGTTACGTGGTTCTTGTCGACGAACGGTTCACTGCGCGCGTGCTTGCCAGGAGGCGACGCGCACCTGAAACGATCCCTTCGGACAATCGGGCGCCTTTAAATGCCTAGTATTGTACAAGTTACAGTTATGCTATAAAACTAACGCAATATACAGGCTTTCAAAGGTACCCGAATCAAATTTATAAAACGTCGAGCCGTTTATGTACTACGTTGATCCTATCGAGAATTATGTACGATAACGCGACTCACTTGAAAAGCTACCGATTTTTACCCAGGGGGATCGTAAGATCGCGCAACGCCCGGCGACACGCTGCACGCGCTCTAAAAAATCGGCTGCCAGCAAGAAAGAGAGAACATACTACCTAAAGGCCGGTGACCAGCCTTTTGCAGCCTCGCGTGCGCTACTTGCGTGTCCGTGATGGGCGACGCAGACGCTGACGCCGAGCCTGACGCAGACGCTGCTGCAGCGCTATAATAAACCGCGGCTGCGTGTTGTCTGTTCGTTACCGACTGATGTTCCAAATTCTGCATCTGCTTGTGAACGTAGTTGGAGGATGGCGGATCCCTTTCGATCACCGTTAGCGAGGGGTAGAAGGGCAGGGTGCCAGGTAACATCTGATCGGTGAGCGGCATTCCAAGCCGCGCCGTGAACGCTGCTCGTACCTCCGCTTCTGAGACGGTCGCTAACTTGGTGCCAGTCTGTACACGAACAAACCACCATCAACTCAAATTATTATATAACGTATATCGTCGCGTCGTCGACTAATATAATACTCGGTGTTCTCTAGAAACTGTTGGTGTTGCAAGCGTTGCGACTGAAAAGTAACCGCTGGAAGCTCACCGTGCTGGTTCCGGACGGAACGTGAGGTCTACCCAGCGAGATGTTCGGCATGGACGGTGAGCTGAACAACGAAAGATCCGAAAGGCTACCCTGTTGGCTGCCGCTGGTCAGAGGGCCACCGTACGCCGTGTTCTCGGTCTCCTGCAAACGAAAAACAGTCTCGTAACCTATTTCTACTTTTACGCAGAAACAACCGTTTCTTATATGACGTTAATACGTAGTTACATCGACAGATTATTCTTGTAAAAATGAAAAATGACGGATTCGAATTGCTCGTGGACGGTATATGTATAGTACTTACTTCTTGAATGGCCGCCGCGTTGCTACCCGCCGTGGGACTCGCTTGAGAATTATTGACGGTCGGCGGCGAATTAGGCCCAGATTCCGGATTACTGCTAGAATCTGGAAAAGGATCGATCAGCGAGCGACGGTGAGCGTCGCGCAATTGTGCCTGTAAATGTGTCGCGCGTGATCGAGATCGGAATTCGAGAGTGCGGATTCGCCATTGTTTTATATCTCCACAATTCACGAATTCCGTCCCGGGAGGACGATGCGTCGTGTGCGTGTGCGTCGTTTCGCTAACGTTTCTCTTCCCCCCAGTTTCGAATCGGTCCGCAAAACAAAAATAGGTCAAGTATTACCAGCCCCACCGGCTAAACTTGTTTTTCCCTCTTAAAAAAACGATTGACTCCAAGTGTGGTAAGATTCCCCGTTTTCTATGTTCGACAAACGATGGCTATTGTCGTTTAACGTTTTTCAGCGTTTCAAAGATGTCTGCTTCGAAAATATAAAATCCTCGAACAAGCACCGCTCCGTTAATTGATGATTTCTTTATAAAGCGTAAAAATGTTTCGCGGTAAGTCAAGTAACCGTATAAATAAAGTTGTCAACATTTCTCTCGGCTCTGAACACGTTACGGAGGAACGCGACGGCACTCGACGATACTTTCCTCGTTTCGAGTATGTTAATCGATAACGTTTTTTGTTTGTCGTCATGCTGTTACTGGACACTGGCAAAAAAGGCAACAAAATCAACGATCGATTAATCGAAAACACGGGTGCAAAGAACCGTTTCTGCTAATGCTCACGCAAGGAAGTATCGGTATAATCGACAATCGAAACGAATCTCGATTAAGTTCGATCGAAGGACGTACTTGCTAGCAGTGACTTCCGCTTGAGGTGCGACAGCAGCCGTTCCTTCCGTCTTGCCATCAGGGGTGAGTTTCTCGAGGCGGCCATGTTCCTCTCCACGCGTTGCTTTAGTCGCACCTTCAGCAGGTTCGGCTCCGAGGCTGGCCAATTTTAGCCAGGGTTAGTTGTTGGTGTCGTCGTCGTAACGGGCCGGATATTAAAACGGTGGATAGCGAACGTGGAAAATGAAGGAAGAAGCGAGACTCCGGAGCAGCGTTAGGCACTTGGGGGGGCCTCGGACGATATACATATATCAACGTTCCCAGGTCCCCCATTTTCAGACAGTATCATTCCCATTGAACGAATCATCGATTTGGTCTAGCTTGTGCTTTATTTAATCGACAGTGATCGCAAACGACTATGCGTTCCTTCATCAAAATCGATACGCCAGAAAATTTAACTAACCTTTGTCGCATTTCATTTTGATAACTGTATTTTCAATGGTATCGCTTATTCGATTATCGCGTAGTCGATGAATTGCCTAATTCTGACCCAGAAGAACGTCCAGGCATCGGGAGAACGGAAGGGAGACGAGTTGGCCAGGAACAGGTCGAAAAGATGTTAAAGACCAGACGGAGAAACACCGAGGAAATGTGCGAGCGTGATGGCAATTATTTTCGTCTTTTAAATAATCAAAACTCATTCGTTGCGCCAGGAAAGACAATCGATCGACGTTAACGTAAATTACATGTAGAAAACGACATAAAACCCGTTTGCAACGATAACCTTGCTAAAAGGAAATCACATTTAAAACTTTAACCAACGCAATTAAAATGTCTATCTTGTAAATATTTATCGCTGTTGCGAGCGAACAATGAAAGAGATTGCTTATCGAATATTTTCGAGTTGGCAATAAAATCAGTCGATAACTTTCGACGGGCTGAGAATGAAGTCCGACCGATCGTGGCGCCAAACGATTCGCAACACTAACAAACACCTGCACGCTCGCTTTAAAGGAGCTATCGCGAGATAAATGTTGGCTTGGCTGACCGTACGCCTCGGTAAAATTCTCATTGGACAGGGGACGTGGCATATTCGACAGGCAAGATCGTTGGATCGCAAAAAACCATGCTTTAGTAGGCATTCTACCGTACATAGGCACACATAGAGTAAGAGAGAAAAGAGAGAGAGACTACCTTTCACCAAGTATGCGTTTCACTCGACACCACGGGATAATATTTCGTACGACACGAATGCGTGCGTGCACCCGAGTATATCTACCTGTTTTTCGAAGAGGGAAATCATCGGCAAACTTTTCCTGAAGCATCTGCGGCATCCTGTATGGATGCGAGGCGTTCGCGGTGCCCGCCGAATCCGATTGCGGTTGCAACCTGATCAACAACAAAATTCCACGTTTCTCGTTTAGTCCGTACTCGTACCAGTCTCGGTCGATCGAGCGTTCGAGTATGTCCCATGACCGTGATCGATGACCGTTGTTGGCCCGACGAACACTTACGATAAACAAAACAGAGACGCAACGCGACATTTATTCGAATCTTTCCGACTTGTTTCTAGTTTCCCTTCTAGATCATTTTATATACGTATACGTCGCCCTCTGTCATTTCAACCCGGTCACGTGGCAACGTTTACAGTAATCCTTCTTAGAGGATTACAAACGGAGTACGGTCATAGTCAGAAACTCGATCGCAAGATTGATGAATTTCATAGAATCTCACCAGCTCCTGTATCCGGCTGTACCAGGTACGGCCCCATTAGCCGCGGCCGCGGCCTCCCTTTGCTTCTTGTTGACGAGGAAGCTCTGAAACCGTGTAAGGTAATTCTCTCAGCTAGTAATCGCGCGCAACATCCCCCTTTCTCTGTCTAGCCTAATTCACGTCTTCCGTCGATCCCAATTACCGCCCTGTGCATTTTCGACAGTTAACGTATCGTACGTATCTATTCCCATGTTATCCCCTCGGACGATAACCGGGCCCGTCCGCGCGAGTATGGTCGAGCCGAAACGATCGACCCCCGCGCGACATCTAGCTACCTGAAGACGTTGCTTGACTTCCGTCGATGCGATGGCACTGTGATCGTGTTTGTCCTTTTTCCTCAAAGCTTCGAGCCTCTCCTTTTCTCTCCTCTGTTCCTCCAGTTGCTTTTGCTGCTCCCATAGCTACGACAGAAAACAGGATCGATCATTTTATTTACAACAATTTACTTCTTAATCATTTTATATAGTATTTTTTCCATTGGGCGATTTTAAGACCGATAGGTGCAGCGTACAAATGAAAGTAATCAATTTCAGTTCGTTTCCCTTTACTTCAAATACGATATTATCATGTACTTCGTCCAGGGGCACACGAACCTTTTGCCCCTCGCGTTGTCACAGACCTGGGAGATGTTCTCGTTGGCGCGGTCGCATCGCGGGTCGTGCACCGATCGCGTTAACGAGTGAAAGGAATATTCCGTTGGACTTTCGACCGAAAACGGTTCATAAACACGATCGTGTCCGTGGTCGTCCAGTGTTCGAGGATGTACTTGTCACAACTTGTCAGGTTATAATCGTGATTGACGAACAAGGAATGTCAAGACAAGTCGAGATTAAACTTTGATGCACAAGTACGCTATCGGCTGGAACACCGTTCTTCCCCTAACTTCTTTACCCGCGGAACGCTAATTCTTTTTCGTCATTGATTACATTATATTGGATTTGGAATTTTGGATTTTTAAAAGGTGACCTCGCATCGAACCAACCACTAAGCACTAATTTCGAAAAAGTTGATTGGAAGAAATATGTTAATGTACACGTTCGAAGCAGTTAATTACGTTATGGAAAGTTTGAGGGAAAGGGTGAGAGTTGGCTTCGACTAACCAGAAGCTCGATCATTTTCCAAGGAAAGAAACGAGAGAAACGTGTGGGCAAACTTTAGATCAATCGAAACTCAGAGTTTTGGCCAACTATGGAAGGGAGGGGTATGATGGTCGACGACGACGCGCGAACCAACGCAACGAGACGGCAGCTTACCTTCAGCTGATGCATCTGTTGTTCGTGCAGTTCCGCCAATTGTCGCTCCTGCGCCTGGAACTGTTGCCGTAGAATCTGCTGTTGAAGTTGATGATGCTGTTGCAACTGGAAACACATCCAGTGATGTCTCGAGGTTAACGTTCGAAGGAATTGATCGTAGCGTGCCTCGCGGTGCACGGACACGAGCACAACTCGCACACGTCAACGTGCCCGAGATGAGCATAACTTTTTCTTTGCGAATAGAACGAAAACATTCTGCGCAACAATTTATTCGCAACGCTCGTTTTACGTGGAATATAATGTGATTGTATTGTATAAAATAATATATCGAACAAACGACTCAACCAGCGTTTTACTCATCTCTGGCACATCACTGCTGATAATGTTAAACGTAATAATAACACGATAGTGATAGTGATAGTGATAGTGATATACGCATATAATGTTCAATATTACAATCAAATTTATTTATTGTGCTTTCAACTTGTGGTTTCGAGTAACCAATCGCAGCGGGTTAGAACCGATTCGAGCACAACTCGCACGCGTGGACGCGCGCGCATCGCTGCGTAATCGTTTCCGCGATCGAGCGATTCCGTGCAGGGCCAGCGCTACAACTTTTACCGCCCCGTTCCACCTTTCAATCTTGACACCCCTTCCTAATTCGCCACTACTGATTCAACAGGAATCGAATCCTCGATTCTCGACTTTCAAATGATGTCCGATCTACGTAAAAAAACGTAAAAAAAAAAAAAAAATATCCTGTACTTTCAAAAAAAAAAAAAAAAAAAATATGTACTTTTGTATTACTCGAGGTAAGTTACGAGAGTAGCAAATCTGACAGATTCCTTCTACGCGTGTATGTTCTGCGCGATGAGAATTTTGCCCATCTCTGGTGCGAGAATCAACGGATTCGCTTAAAAATAACACGCGAACGGCGTCCGAAGCTACTGAGCGCGAACGAGCGTGAAGGAGGGCGACGCGTTAAGCAGCGACGCTATTTATAGATGAAATACATATCCCGTAGTCGGAGAGCGAATCGTTCGTTCGTGAAACGAGCAGCAGACGGGGAAACGGCTAGGTACACCGAAGAGAATGCCCGTGGATGGAATTCAAATTTAGCTGTCAGAATATTCAAACACGTGACCATCACGTGGTATCCAATCGAGTATCTATCTACGGGTCCAGGCCGTATATCTATTTGCGTACGTACGCATTTCCTACTTTCTACCCACGTGTACGCCAACTGGAAACAATGCACCGATTTCATCCGATATTATATCGCGATATTATATCGCTATAGACGAGATCTATTAACTCGCAACGAGATACAGCCAGGCGTCACGCTCGCTTAACGGTTTACCGACTGCTAACGGTTCAACGTATAATTAAATTTCATAATATCTTTTATTTTCGTTACGTTAGTATCGGGTATATAATATTTATTTTATCTATTAGAATCGATTTCAGACCGCATTCAACTTTCTCTTACAATTAGCAAATTATACAAAGAATTTTTTCCTTCCAAACGAACAATTCGATCAAGTTTACCATCGTTCGTTACTTGCAACGGAAGCAAGAGAAAAAGTTGCGAATATTATGTCACGAGTACAGAACAACGTTGATAAAACTATACACTTTTAAATTAGACTGTTTTAAAAGAGCTGAATTTTATCCAAGTTACCGGCAATTCATTTCTATCTATCTTCGATTATAGTATTTCGGATTTAATTTTTACAAACGACTACTTAACACGCTATCGTAAATGTTTACACAGAGAGCAGGTGGAGTTCGTTGATAAACTTGTTATAAACTTTTACTAAATGTAAGAAACATAACGCTACTTTACGCGATCTTATCGCCGTGAACTTATCTGTCAAACGATACTTGTACTACCGAAGATAAACCTCTGACAAAACTCTACGGATAAGTATGAAAAGGTGTATAAATAAAAAAAATTATTTTGTAAAAAATGCTGTAACAATATTTTAAAATAATTGAATAATTTTTCCTGGTTATTTCAGAAATTTATAAACGTATAACACGTTGCTCTTTACTTTTAACGAAATCTCAACTAATTTCACAAATATGTTTTTGGATAAAATTCACATCGATCCTACCAACTAATTACGTTCCGATTTAATCAAACAAACCAATGTCCGAATGTGATCGTGTACGAATTCATTTTCACTAAGAAATCCATCGATAATACTATCATTAACACTTGCCGAAACGAACACAAATATTTAATTTTCATTGAGCGAATGACTCACGACAACGCCAATTATTAGTTTGAAATCGAGATAAAAAGATCGCTACTCACCTCTGATATTTAATCATAGATTAATTATTAAATAAGTTCCAACGGCAGTAAGATAAATGAAATAAAAATGTTCGTTATCCCTCTTTTCCTCAACTTTGAAAATATCCTATCGATGTTATTAAGTTTGATTTTATGTAATATTGGTTACATGTTCGAGCGTAATTTGTATCGGATCGATCGTCAAATACCGAACGGGCTGTAATACTCTGTCGGTACAATGAATGTTACGAATACATTACCTCGAGTATCTTTTGCTGCAGCGCGTGACCGTGAAGGGCGGTTGGATCGCCAGAGGCAGCGTGATACGCGCTGGATGTCAAGGTGGCCGCTGCAGCGCCAACTCCGCCGACCAACTCCCTCGGCCTAGACATGGGTGAGCCTGGCGTGTCCCTGGCCATTTCTGCGCAGACCAATCGCTCGCGTTCAAAACACAACAGAAACCAACCGAAACTAACAGGCTGACAATTGTTATCCTCTTTCTACACGGTGAATATGTTCCAGAACAAAAATCGAGTAAAAAGAAACAAACTTTACTTCGCAATTCTTATCCATAGATTAGCGGTGATATTGTGATTAGTGTCGAACAATGCTTCAAACTTTAAAGCTAATCGATATCGCACATTTACATTTATTCTCGATACACAGGCAAACAAAAGAAATGGATATTTTCGTTTAAACGTTTGTTTCATTTTTATTTAATAAATTTCCAATTTATTTCAAGCTATTTATCCTTTATTGGTTATTCGACATTTTCGTCTAGGAACACGACTCACATTCGACGCCGAACCTTTCGATCGAATCTGTTCGCGAAACGCTGTCGATCGACGCTCGCGCGATAGAGTATATCAGACACCACTGTTTCCGTGCGTCACTCCTTCGAGTCGATCCATCGAAAATCGAAACGCGTCGATCGGTCGCGTACTCGATAGCGTGACTATTTTTAGAACCGTCAGACGCGTGGCAAGTCATTTTATCTGTTCTTTGTAAACGTTCGACGCGTTCAATTAATCTCTCGATCGCCTATGTTTCGTGAACCGTTCTACCGGCTCTTGTTCTTCTCGCTGACGCCGATTCAAACCAAATATTTTCGCCACTCAAGGTCATCGACTAATAAATCACGTTTCACGCAAACGTACCAAATATATCGACTTTAAACACATTCAAATTAATGTCGTTGATTAATGATATTTTATGATAATTTAAGTTTCCACAGATTTTGGCCACTTAAATAAATAATAAAATTTAAATAACAGAATTAAAGATTTCACAGCGAACAAGTGAACGTTTCGATTACTGTCGTTAACGTAGAAAAATCGTCTTCCAACGCGTAACCTAAAAATTACCTTTTTGCGGCAGATGCGTAAACGCGGACGCGATCTCGACGCTTCTGTAGCCCACGTCTTCTGAAACAAAACGCACAATCGGTTTAGAGATCCTGAAAACTTGCAAATTAGAGAGGAAACTATTTACAGAGCAACGACTAAATAAAATTGATTATCGATACGAGTAAACGTATCGAGGAATGTCGCAACACTATAAAATAGTAAGAAAAATAAGATTGCGTAACGAGCATTGCATCCGTTCGGTGTAAACATAATTTTCTTGCTAAGTCAACTGTGACAAAAAAAAAAAAAAATTGTCGAATAGACGCATTACAACCCAGATAATTACTATCACGGTCTGAAAATAACAGTGTAAAGTTTCCTGTAACGTCTAAATATAGCCAATGCAAACTGAATGTCATAAGCATACCGTATATTAATACACATTTGCGTATGTAAAGCAAATGCATTTTTTTTCGTTCGAGTAATTCCGTGAATAGACATTCCGTACATCAACGATGTCCGAGTTAATTTTTGGTTAACGAAAACGATAAACAAAAGTGACAAAGCTGAAGAAAATAATTTTACTTTCGATTTTTTGTTGTAAAAATAATCATTCGGAACCATGTCCTATATTTGCAGTATCTGCACCTTCTATATACCAAGTATAAAGAGTTAAATTCGTAGACGCATGTTTAGGTTGGGCGATGGTCGTGTAGGTAAAACGATCGACTGTGGATCCGAGGATCGTGGGTTCGGTTCTCCCGTATTGCTATATTATTCGTACGAATGTAGGATACACCCTGCAGGGGGCTTATAAGACACGTGTAACTCTTTCTCGCGTGTTTGGCTTGTACCTTGTACCAACATTCAGCGTAATATTAATCATCTAACAAAAATAGTAGCGCGAAATAAACGAATACTATTAGAAGCAATAAGTACCATTAGCGTAAGAATGACTAATCCTAATCGCCTCGGCAAGTGAAACGTCGAACAGCGACTGGAATCAAACGGCCGCGTGTCGAATGCATAACTGAGTGGTTATAACCTCGAAAGAGACTATCGGAATGGAATGGAAAGGAATGGAATGGAATGGAATGGAATGGAATCGAATCGAATCGAACCGAGTGGAAAGGGGGCTGAAACGGGGCAAGAACGGTGCAAAGGTGAGCGAGCGAGTCGACGAGCGTCGAGTTAGCGAGGCGAGCAGAGGTCACTGCACGCTGCATTCCACCGAGTCAAGTCCAAGGTTAATCGGAGGAGGGCCGTTCTTCGACGCGCGTGCTTTGCTCCTCTCCTCTTTCCGCCGTACTTACTCCTATTACCGCACAGTCCGCCGTGAAAAAGCTCGCAATCGCGATCGCCAAACTCTTACGGGACCTATCGAACCTTGGAATCCCTTCGAATAATCAGCTCCAACGATTTCGCATCGAAAATTCATTTTATTTCTTCTAAAAAATTAATGATAATACCAAACAAGTGGACAAAGTAACATAATTTTTCTCAAAATCACTAACTACTATTGTTGTTTCGAGAGCTAATTTGAACAACTAGTGATATAAATAACTACACCTTCAGAATCTTAATTGTAGGAGCACAATTATTAAAATAAAAAGTTACAAACAATTATCGACGTTTGAGCTGGCATTGCCGAACCAGAAAAGAATTATGTAATCGATCCAAGACACGAGTGCGCTCTCAGAATTAAAATACTGTAGGTGCAACCATGTATCACCGCTAATAAAATGTTCCTTAAAAATCATTCCTTTTGATTTATTCATCGACAGAGTAACGACCTCTGATACTTGCTTTATTCTTACTAAATATTTGTATATTATTTCATCGATATTCATCGCAACTGTATCGTTTCTACTTTGCAGCCAAAGGTTCGTCGAGTACAAAGGGTGAGGAGGGTGGGGAGTAGATGGTAAGGGTTGCACGCTACGCTGTCGCCAGATAGCAGTGAAGAAGACAATTAAGGTCCACGTTGATTAAAGTAATTGCCACAAAAAGCGTTGTCCGGATGTATGCGTTTAAAACCAGCCTAGTTATCAATTACAATAAACTTTAATACCGCGACAGTGTCGGATCTCTCGGTTTTCTCTACCCTAAGACCGCCATTTTTCTGTCTATGTAAAACATGTTTCCCGATGTAAATGTTATTTCAAACGCTCTTAACCGAAACGTCGTTTCTGCGAATCGCCGTGCTGCACTAGCGCCAATTTATTTGTAACCTTCCCCGACAGATGTCACGAACCGTCAGGAACATCTATCGAACGGTTATCGATCGTTGATACTTCTCATTTGCTATTTACAAAAATTAATTATCCCGTATCAAATGTAATCTTAAGAGTTAATTCTTCGGGAAGCATAACGCGAGCAGAAAGATGAAGAAGCACTGCTGCGTTAGATCGTTGTTCGAATGGAAAGCGAGTCGGGTCTGGAGAGTGGCAAGCTGATGAGAATCCCGCACGCTTTGCCACTCGCCGCAGTAAGTACGTTGTTATTATTAGCGAACGAATGTCGGTGTGTAGGTCAAACGATTATCGCGAATGAGAGCCATCCGTCAGAGTCAACGTATCGATCGCGTTAGTCTAACACTCTCGAATAGCTATCGATAGCTGGAGAACGCAAATTTTTCATTTTCGTTTGGTCAACGAACCATGCTACGTAACAACATGAATCAATATGGCGACGAAATAGTGAAAGCGCGCTATTATTTGAAACGCGTGAAGCGACAATCATCTAATAGAAAGTTTACGAGAAATAAATAATGGTATCTTTACGAGATATATCGTTAGAGAACGGCTTATTCGATGGTCTTTCTAAAGAACACGATGGTATAAGATGTTGATCGTAATCAAAGTGTCGATTATTACGAAGAATACTATACTGGCTCGGGTATCAACGACACCTGCACGTATCAGTGTGTGTGTGTGTGGGGGGCGGGGGGGCCGCAAGAGAGATCGAGGCACGTGCACAGCTGGATCGTCATATTCGTATTAATATACAATTCGTGATGTACACTGTGTATACAAGTGATGTCTAATCGAGAATTACATTCAACACGACTAGCGAGTCCTGACATCGAGGAACCGGAAAATGACAAACGAGAGGGCAGAAGCGAAGCGAAACGGACGAAAGCCGACCTCGATTCCTAGGACGAATCTCAACGATTGACGAGAGGCCGCGTTGATGCACCAATGGAGAGGGGGACATTGTGGTGGATGTCGGATGCGAGACGAAAGGAGTCGGGAGTTTCGGCGAAGAGAGTCCAGGAACTTTTTACTCGTGTTTCTGGCCGGTGGCCGACTAGCTAACATTAGACGAACGCTCCCTATATATAGGATGACATTTATATACGCGGCTGCTAAACGCGGCGAGCATACACGCGCTCGTCTCGAACGCTCCCGTCTCGAACTCTGCCATTTCTCTCTTTTCCCGTCGCGGTACGCGGTAATTTTCTTCCCAGAATGTCGGAGCTCCCGGGATACAGAGTCGGGCAGCCATTGCTTCTACAGTAATCACTTACGATCGACAGATTTACCTATAAAACCCACCAATTCGTTTTATTTCTCCTCTATTATTTTTAATTAAATTAGTAATTGGTTTGGTTTTAAAAAACAAAGCGAAAATTATCGCGCGCGTTCCCAGCTAAGAAACATGGCGCCCGCGTGGTGTGCGAGCTGGATGCGCGGTGAATTACCGACGATCGAACGCTACGAGCGCTGTCAATATTATTACGCGCGATTATCGTCGTACGTAACCTTGGCGCAACGTAAACGTATCATTATTATTATCGTCGTAAAACTAATTTCTAATTTATCTTTCCATTAGGGTATTTTACTTGAAAAGCTTTTGTCTTACGATCAACTAACGTTACTAACGTGGTTATTAATTATTTATCGATCGTTAATCGTAATTACAGTAGTAATTGTGGTATTATCGTAGTCATAGTTTGCCGAAAACTGACGAGATATACGTACCTAGTTGATTCGTGCGAAACATATTGCAACGGTAGCATATTCAGGAATTCCGTACGCGCCCCGCTGCAACAACACTCGAGCACGATGCACGATGCTACGGCAGAGCCACCAATCGGTCGATTCTTTCGGTTGCGAGCGCGCTCGTTCCACGTCGATATCTCGCTCTCCCGACTTGGCTGGGAGAACCGTCGCGATAGCCGAGTTTCTCGATACACGCGTCCCGCTGAGTTAACAAGTGCACACTGCGAATATCATCGACCCGACTCCTCGACGCCTTCTCGATTCTCCCGTTTGTCTCTCAAGTTTCACCACGACCTTCTCCTCTAGAAACAACGAAACGAACGATAGACAGAGATGGGCAAAATTTCATTCGAATCATGGATGACAAATGAAAACACTGTACGGCGATTTATTCTCAATGTTCGTTCCATTGAACGGTTATTGATCGAGATAGACTTCTTTACTTGTTAACAGCTCGTTTCAGAATTCGTACTGCAATATTGGTTGGACGAACAACGAACAAAGTTTATTCTTCTTTTGTTCATTGTTTGTGATTTTTACTTTTCTTTTCAAAGAATTTGCCCATCTCTGACGATAGATAGCGGATCGACAAGGAAGATGAGGACGATCACAAGAACCGAAAAATCTTTAGATTTTCGTCACCGAGCGAGAACGGTGTTGTAAGCGTTACGAATTCAAATTAATTGTTATCGAGTTGAAGTCTAGTCCGTGTGTCGGAGAAAACAATCGTTCCTATCTACGACAGGAGTAACATGGTCAGATCGCTACGATTAAAGTAACAAAACCTCCTTACGGATCAGCACCACGGCAGAGACACCATACGGAGTTTAGTAGAAACTTTCCTACTTGCTTCTATTTTCCCTTCTAAATCATTTTCTACAAGACTATGCCACATCTCAGTTGCACGCATAGTGGTAATATCTCCATTAATCCGCGCAGCCTTTCAGAAAATTTCACGTTGTTAAATAAAGTTTTGATATTTTGGTTAAAGAGTTTTGATATTTTGGTTAAAGAGACGACGATACGACATCTGTCTTTGGAATGCCATAACAATGCGACATTTAGGTACCCACGACGACAGATGTCGTGATATTCATCGTTACAGCAATAAAAGTCGTCAACTTGATGTCACGTGAACACGCAGTTTTACGGTCGAGAAGCTCGCAGCGCGAGTCAACGCGATCGCGTCAGTGTACGCGCGTGGGAGTGCGACTCGATTTCCTCGATACGACTGCAACCACGAGGGAGGAAGACCAACGACCGCGCAATGGACGCGATGTTTCCAAGGAACGTGGCGCACAGTGGCCTTATTCGACGTATTTATTCGTACACGGTGTCCCTAAAGTCACCGTCTGTTTACTAAAATAACTCATGTATTTGAAAATTTACATCATCGTTTCATCGTCTTTAAAGATTTCATAGAACCAAGGCAGAACTTATTTAGAAAATTAGCGACAGAGCAAGACTAATTGGATCACGAAACTGTTACTTCTGTAAGCGGAGACAGCGAAAAATCAAATGTCTCGCAAAGCGTCTAGATGACACGCGATCGCGTCCTATACATAAGTACAGCGATGAATGATATTCGAAGGAAATTTTTACAATTCGTCAATGTTCGTATGTTACGCTTTATCGTCTATCGCTAGATGTGGATTTTATGCATTCATGATATAAATTAATATCGATCGATTATGCATTTATCCGAGCAAATCGGTGTGCGTCTTTGAAAAAAGTCGAGCGACAGGTTGAACAATGAAACCGTCCGATCGGAGCCGGTACTTGACCGTCCGCGTTATAAATTGATCCCGTGACTCCATCTAAGTGGCGCGAATGATTCCAGTGACGTCAGCGTCGTTTCATTTTTTTTTTACTCTTCTCTTCTCTACTCTGTTGTGCCGTATTCGCGAATCGCGGTCAGTCGATTCGATCGCTTCGTGTCTACAATTTCGTCCATCGGGTTGTCGGAAATTTTCTTTGCAGAGTTCTTACAAATGTCCTCTGAATTACAATAAATCGTTTCACGAGTTGTCGTTAGTTATTTCGTCGGACTATTTCATACGATTCGTAAATTCGGCAAGATTAAAAATGAAATACTACAGGAAATGTGAGATTGTCTAATTTTCAATTGTCACGAGACGAAATGTTCACATCGGAATACGAGATATTTGGATAACGATATTCGAAAAATCGCGATCGAAACAACGACGAAAGTCATCGTCCCGACTCGAGAAAGTTGTCGCGAGCACAAAGTAGCCAGAAGAACAGCCCGTCCCAAGTTCGTTCCCCCGTTGCTCTTCTTCTGACCGTACTGTCGCGAACGCAACTCGCGCTTCTTGTTACGAAACCGGTCCTGCATCTTTCCGCCGACCCTCTGTTATTTCGTGCGAACCCGTTCCTCTGTCCTTTCGTCTCGTAACATCGCTCGTCACACATTCGAAGACACGAGGAAGCAAACTGCGCAGCACGACTCGACATTTTTAACAGGATACCATTATCAAAGAAATAATACAATGCCTTTAGATTCGATCATTTATAACAATTTAAATAGAAATATTCACCCTTTGTTTTGTTACGTTGGATAATAAGAAAACAGATTCGTTTAGTTTTCCAACTGACACGACAGCGACGGAGAATTAAACGTTGTATGGCTTTTCTTTCTAAATAAATACGTTTACCTTGGAAAGGCGAGCAAATTAATTCCTGGCCTATACACAACGGTTGAGAGCTACTGTCGCATAGTATCGAGCGTAGAAACAAACGAGCCAACACGTGCGAAATATTTTCCAATTCGACCAACAAAAGTTTCATTAAAATCGGTACGTAACTCTTGGTGGAATCCCCCTTGCGGAGGGAAAGAGATTAACGCGTGTCGTGGCTTCGAGAGCTCGCAGCAACTCATAGGAACGTGACGGACAAGGAACAACAGGTGTCCGGTGTATCGGAAATCGCTTTCAAGTTGACAAACACGGCTAGCTCGCAACGAGGCTGTTTCCCTCGGCGAGACGAGACGAGACGAGACGAGACGAGACGAGACGAGACGAGAATAGCGCGCCTCCGTCGTTTCGAAAGAGCGCCATTGAGCGCGGGTAAAAAGGACAGAGGTAAAGATCGAGAGTAAATGGAGCCTCGCGTAAATAAAATACGATAGCGACCAATGGAGACCTGGGACTATTCGAATACAGTGAAACCTCGGTTATTTCAACTAATTGAACATCGAAAGTGTTTGGAGAAAAGGACTTTGTGTAATAGAACAACAAGTGTTTATAACGCTGAATATTCCTCGATACGTAACTTCTTTGAAAACCGAACTTTTAAAATAACTTCATTTGTCGTTCAAGTACGTTTCATTCATCTTATATAGGTAGTAATTCGGTACGTAATCAAAATGAAAAAAAAAAAAAAAAAAAACAAAAACGATAATGTCCATACATGTGGTCGATAAGCTTTATCGGTAAATTATGAATGAAAAGATTTCATCCATGAGGCGATTAGCGTCCCGCGGAATTCAGTTTGAGAAACACTGATTTAAATAAATATTTTGTATTATCTCTGATAAAGACGCGTTGCACAGTGGAATATTTGGACTGAAACGTCGAGCAAAAGTGAATTATCTAGTGCAGAAATTCTGCGCGGTAGTCGTCTCCTATTTTGTTATCGCTATGCGATTAAAATCCAGACATAATTTTGGTCAAATTATTATTCGTATGCAAATGTGCCCCACTGTGCGTCGGTTCCGTGACTCAAAGGGGAGTCGGAAGTGGGGGACGCGTGGTCGGACAGTCAGCCGCAACCACGCGCGTTAAGGATTCGTTTTCACGTGATGTAAAGTCGCGACTTTCGATGCGGCAACATTAAATGGTAAATTTTGCGTCGTCCTCTACACTCCACTTCCAGTCGACGCGTTAAAAATTGCGACACGATAAACAAACCTTTATGAAAATACACCTTTCCTTCGAACGAACTGTCATTCGCTCGCGACGTCTGCGTCTACGGTTGCACGCACTTATTCGACCATCCGATGAATACGACTCTTGAACTGCGTTTTCGCCAGCAGACACGCCACTGTATATCTCGATATCACCGAGCACCACCGAATATTACCGTGAATCACTGTGGTGATGATAAAAAAAAAAAAAAAAAAAGCACTATCAGATGGATAACCACGAAGAACAAACACCGTGTTAAACCGTCGCGACGATTCGGAGATCTAGTCGCGTTCGCGAATAGGTCGTGTAATTCTCGTCGCGCTCGCGCACACAGCACGGATGTCGAAAAGGAACTGCGCGCGTCGCACGCTGCCGCTTCTTTTGCGATTCATTCGCATTCCTCCCATCCGTCACGCGATGACAGCGCCCTGCCTCGTGAGGCTCGCGAATCTCTACTATTTATAGAGACCCGGTATCGTTGCGTCCACGCTCTTTTTGTCCCTCCACGGACTCTCGATCGCTCTGTCTCTGTCTCTGTAGCCAGCAACGTAATCGTAAACCGCTCCCTTCTCCGCTCCCTGCTCTTTGACCGCCCACCAGTTTATATGCCACCCTCCATCGCGCTGCTCTCCCGTTGCCGTCTTCGCCGCCAATAACGCTCCCAGCTTTGTCCTCCCATCTTTCTCTGTTCCTTTCGTACCGTCGGCGTCGACGTCGACGTCGCCGTCGCCGTCGCCGTCGCGTCGTATCGCTACAAACGACCGATTCGAACTCGTTCGGTGTCCGCGTTCACTGTTTTCATCTCAATGATACACCACTCGATTCGACTCGGATTCCCATCCCTTTTACTTTCACCGATGTTAAAGACTAAATTTCTTACTTTATTATTATCCAACCACAATGAACGAGGAGAATTAATTTATCGCATATATTTCTTCGCGACCCATCGGTCTCAGAATGCGTGTCTCGAATATTAAATTGGTCGCATCTCAAGAGAGGAACGTGCTGAAAGGCTGAAATTTTACCATCTTGGACGACGATTAGACTTATCGAACTTTGAGAGTTATCAATGACGTGTTAGCGGTAAATAGATTTATTTGTTAGTCGGTTAATTATGATTTTTAAAATCTAGTGACCCAGACAACCATTTTTCGATTTTTACAGATATTATTCGAAATGCTCGAAAGACGCGAAGCGACAATAATGCTCGCGACTCGAAGAGAGATGCTCGATCTCGGACCGCCGGAAGATCGTGGGCTGGAATGCACGCACCCCGTTCCCGGAAACTGCTCAGTTATCGACAGCCGTCCTTGTCGTTCTCGCCCTTTGATTCGCCGTAACGCCAACGGTAATCAACAGCCGTGTCGCAAACGTTAACGACACCACGCGCAGATTGCAATTATCTCGCACCAGATATGGGCAAACTCTTATCCAGATAGAAATTTCGAATAAAAGATAAACGACCGTTTATCCAGCAGTTGGCAAATAAAAATTACAATCCCAATTGTAATTCCAAAATTGTATCTAGACTGTCCGAGTGTCGGATGTTCGCACGAGTTACCCCTCTAACGAAAAAATCCTGCACGTCCTAAACCTATACCCGTCTATGGGAGGAGTCAGACGTTCCGGCTTAACTCGGACAGTTTGGCTATCATTCGGTCGATCGATAATGCTCGGGCTTCGGGGTGTAGCTTGCGGTAAGGGAAGGGAAGGGAATGGGGAAGGGGGAGGAGGGGGCCGCGAGCGGGATGACCTTGTCTCCTATTTTTGGAAGGTGGATTTCTCGTGACCCGCGAGGTCGGAAGCTTTCCATCGAAGGGAAGGGAATGGAAGAAACTTGGACGCGAGAAAGCGGAGCGATGGTGGCGATGGAGACCGAGTACGAGTATCGATCGAATCGAAAACAGTCGTTAGGAAAAGTTTGGCCGTGATCGCAGCGGTTCGCGTTGCACAGATCAGCCAGAAACCACCTGCTCGAAGACGTTTCAGACTTGAGACGTCTGCCCCCCACCCACCAATTGCCGACTCGTATCCACCAAGAGTAAACGGATCAACCGATCACAATCGATCGATATCAATAATATTAAAACAACGGTATCTTTGATGCTCGTTGATATTTTCAACAATCCAAACTGTAACGCTCGATGCTATCTCGTTGTTGAGTGCGAAAACAACAAATTATTTCTTGCAATTAATATTCATCTTAATCCATATAACAATATAATACCATTCTTTCAGAATCAATTGAAGAATCAGCTTTTTCAAAAGCATCGAACATGTCCGATATCGGAGGATAGGACTGGAAACTGGAACCGCTTCGATCGGTCGCGTCGGTGAAAAAATATACGATGGTGGGCGGTAGGGGTCGAGGAAGACGAGGAATCGGTGTGTAGGTGCAAAGATTTTTCTAAAAGATGGCGCGCAATGGGTAGCGCCACTCGTGACTCTAATCCATCCAGGGTCTCTCGTCACTTCCTACTATTTATAGACGACCGCTCGATATGATGTACCGACGTTATTTTTAGCGACTTACCTAGCTACGGCCCTTTCACCCCTTCGAAATAGCACTTGGGAAGACTCGAACTGGAACGGCATTCGTGTCCTCGACGAGCAGAATAAAAACCACCGTTACGTCTAATCGAGATCGTAATTTCTTATTCGTTTCGTTCCATTGAACGTGTTCGTATCGTATCGAAGCGGAATAACAGACGAGATAACCGAGTGGACGACATTGTTTTGTAAACAAGACAACACGAATGAAAGACGAAACTCGTTTCGACGGAGATTCACCGTCCGTTTTGGAAATATCAACGAAATAAATACCTAAATGTTTCCGATCGAAATTGTTCGTCTTTTACTTGTTACTCTCGTTAAATGGTTACCTCGGATGAAATTTTCGTTCGCCTCTCGTCGACTGCGACTAGAAGCAAATCCACCAACTCTGTCGCGTTAGTCACGCGACAAACCTGAAACACAGCATTTATTTGCGTAGTTGATCACGTAACTCCATTTAATTAGGTGTTCGCGCAATTATGCCGTCAACTGCTTTCCTCTCGAAATAGCTGAATCGATACGAACGTTCCGAACGTCCGGAGGCTCGCGATGTCCTACCAACGCTACCTCGATACACCCTCGAATTTGTCAACTGGAATGAGCGAGAATTGCCAAGCTGGGGCGCTGATAAAAGCGACTGTGTGCAGTCTACGCGTGTACACTGGCCCTCTCTCTCGCTCTCTTTGCGCTGGCGTGCGTTTGCGTGTGCCAGTGTGAGAGAATTCTCTTGGTAGGTGGTCGGCGGTAATACGCCGTATGGCGTGCTAGGACAAAAATAGTGGCGGTCCCGTTCGAAAATACCGACTGCTAAAAATACGAGCAAAAATAAACGTCTACACGTGCAAAAACACGTATTAATATTCGATGCGCGGCCGACGTCCATGTTTTCCTGGCATTAGAGCGGGATACCGCGACTGGTAGCCGATGGAGAAAGTGAATTCGTCGAAAACACAGCGAACCGCGAACGGAGGAAACGAGGAGGTAACGAGAAAAAACGGGGGCAAAAAAAAAAAAAAAAAAGCACGTGGCATACGAAATGCTTGTTTCGACGAGGCGCGAGACGTCAGAACAGCGTGGATAGAGAGCGAAGAAACTTGGACGCGGAAGAACGCTCATGTGGAGTTTCTCGCGCACGATGTATCGTCGAGGTCCGTTTTCGCGCGCCATAGTCATCAGTCTCGATGCGATCAAGATTTAAATGCGTTTTCACGACGTTTTTCCGTTTTCTACTCATCCTATCGTTATTCGTATATAAACAGTTCCTTAAAAAATGTTAAAAGTCAAGCACGTCATTTGTCCGTGCGAAATTGTTCGTTTATCGACCGAGTTGTCGTCGGCAAAGTCGTGACTTACGTCGCAGAAATAAATGTTCATTTCCAAGTCACCAATTTCAATGCCATGACATGAGACACGAGTCGCGATAGTACACGGTTGATGAACAAAGAATTTTGTGTCAGGATATTTGTAAATGTCCGCGGTAAACGTTGACACCGGGAGCGGTTCGCGTCTTATCTGCAAAATATTCCAAGAACCGTAAAACGTGTGACGAGTGTCACTCGTGTAACGCGTTGGCGCCACCCCAACACGGCGCAGCGGCGCCTCTCCTGACTCACTGGAAACGAAAGGGACGGCGACGGCGACGGCGACGACTGTGATGAGAAAAAGGAGATCCTGTGACGGTGCGAATCACGGAAGGGAAACATACGATATGCCTTTCGCGATTGAAACACTCATCGATAACAAAAAAACACGTGGTATGGATGAATTGAACTTTCAAAAAGTGAAATTTACTTTTGAAAAAAGAGGTAATCGTGAAATCTAGTCGACTTGGGTGGGTGTTAAGAACAGAGGAGGGTTGGGCAGACGGATGCCTGGAGAGATTGTAGAAAAGTGGAAAAAGAAAAAGAACGGGTGGAAAGGGTCAGGAGATGCGAGGAGTAAGAGGGTGGGGTAAAAGACGCGAGAGATATAAATAGAACCGATACTCGGTCCGTGGACTTGTCTAGGGTGACCTTTGCGCGAAGCAACGTCTACTTTCACGGCGCGCTATTAGGCTAGGTTATTGGTTCCGCCTCTTCTCTTCGTCTCCCTTCGGCTGGATGGCACCGTTTGCGGATCTGGGTTATGTTTACTACCCCCTCCCGTCTCGTGCACCTCCGCGTACCTTCCACGAGGTCTGCGCGTGCACGACTCTGGCGCCTCCTACGCAACCTCGGTGGTACACGCACACAACCTTCCCGTTGCCCTGAAAAAATCGGCAAGATGCTCGTTTCCACCGCGGAATCCGAGTACTTACACCCGAGACATTTCTCAGGGCCGATAGTTGGCCCAGCCTCCAACTTTTTCCTTTCCATTGAGATATCTACTTTCGGACAATTTCTATCGATATTTGTATTTTCCGTCCAAGGACTATTCTCGAACGATATTCTAGATGCTCGAGATAAAGAGAATATTAGGTGTATATGTATACTTTTTAACGTTTATAATTCTGTAATATTTTTCACTTCCTTTTCAACTATTTTTTACCTATAAGGAATTCACCAAGTAGAAATAAAACCCGCTAGATAGCATCAGTGTACAGTCCTGCTTCTAGCTTCGGAAGTAGGGTTCTAATTTAAACTACGCGTGACATTTGGAAAACCCGCCGTAGGGTTATTTAAAAAAAACTGTGCAGAATTATAGATATCGTAACGACGAAATCGAGCATATATATTTTGCATCGAAAGAAAAAACGGATGTTTGCGAGTACACCAAAGGATTAAGCGGGTAAACCGATCTAAAAAAAAAAAAAAAAACCGTCGATATAACGAAAGGGAACGCGAAGATAAACGTAAGAGAAAGTGCAAGTTAGGGGAGGAAAAGACGACCGAAGAAAACGCGCTTCTCGTGTCTGAAATCGCGAAAGTCGAACCAGCGACGAAGCGCGAACGCCACCGTTCGCGTAGCAACGAGCTGCCGTGATAAAAATAGAAATAGCCGTGGCGATCGATTGACGCGTTCTTTCCCGTCGTTCTGTCCAGCCGATGAAAAGGATTTCGGTGCTGGCCCCGAGACGGACCGTATTCCACGCTTGCGAGCGTGGGAACAACATTCCAAACGGAATTCCAAATTCGGAATCCTCGTTTTTCCAAGTTTTTTTCATTTTCGAATTTCAGATTCCAACCTCGGAATCGCACGTTCCTCTCATTTCTTGAAATTCCAAATTTCCAATACTAACGTTAGCGCAACCGTAGTAGCCAAGTAGTGTCGCAACAGATAATCGTAATCAGAGATTACGTTTCGTGAAACATCGATGTACAAGATACGGAACACTGGCAGCGCGTAAACGATCGGTGAAGACTCTCGGGGAGCGAAGAGAGGGGCGAGGGCCAAACACCCACACCGCGAGGAACGGAGTGCGTTACGACGCGACGAAATTAGCATGGGCACAATACGCGATCCCGCCTTCGCTCGGAAAAATAGATTTGGCAGGATACCAAAGCCCGGCTCTGAATAGACCCGAAATATATGGATCATCGTCGTCTTTTGCGTTCCTCCTCGCAGTTTCCATCGCGGTGAAAGCGACCTTTTCTTTGCCCGCGTTCCTCGGCGTAACGCCCGAACTCCCTACATTCAAATTTAGCCGCGTGTCGAACGCGGGCATGAGCAAAATATTGCTCAAACATACGTACATGTATATCTACGTGTATGTATATGCATACATCTTTACGTTTGGGATATATTTAAGAATGTATTTAAGGATATAAACACACATTGCGTGATAAAATGGAAGCGATATAAATTCTATACAAGTATAAGATAAAGCTACCCTGGCCGTTGTTTTTTCATTAAAGCCATACTCAACGAATAAGATGATTTCCTTTCGTTCGTTATTGCCAGCCAGTGGATGTTTACGGAAATTCATATTTTTACAGATACAGGAAAGGAATTGAAGTTTAAACGAACGTATGGCTCGTCTTTCGAATGCATAAACATCTAGTTACTCGTAATTTTTGTTTAGACGAGAACCTTATCGATCGCTGGAGAAACGTGTATCTGGTGTCGCGGTGAGCCTGCAACCAGCAGATAGATGCCGAAGCGCTCGTGTGGCTGTTGTCCTCCGCCTCGTGATCGACTCGTGACTGGCTCCGCGTGTAGCCAGCCGATCCCACGCTACCGGGAACGCGTCCTCGCGCTTATCGAGCGCGTACGCCAGACCGTTCGTTCTAGCATCCTTGGGGAACGGCGGCAAACCGAACGAAAATAAATGGTAGCCGATGAAAATAAACTTTGCGCGACTGTTTTACGCGTGTTGGTATCCGACGCGACGCGACGAGACGCGACGCGGTCACAGGTATTATAGCAAAGAATTGGAGGCGGACGGGACCGTTAGGGAACGGAAGATGTGACCAGTGGCGGTGGTATAGCGGGTGTGTGGGCTGTTGTAGCTGTGACGTTGCACCGAGAATTGCCCGAAGATCGTCGAGGACGGACAAGGGAGGAAAACAAGAACGTTACGTAAATAGAATCGGTCAATGCTGCTATGGGAACACCGAAGAATCGTGCGGGGTTAGACGAGGATCGGGGTCGGGGAGGCAGGCGTGGGGCGCGGCCTAAGTGTACGCGTAATCGAGCGCACGTTTTCTTCGTGGCGCGGAAACGCGAAACCAGACGATCAAAACGTAACGCACCCTTTTCCGGATTTTCAACGTTTTTCGCGACAGCTGTACCAACGAAATATTGCCGGTATTACATTAGTATAATGTACATGATTTCGTATACATCGTCGTACATCAGAATCGATTTACTTGAAGGAAAAAACATGAAAATGTTATAGTCAACGATATTATACGATACATTAAAGATTTTTAATGGGTTCAGAGAATCGAATGTAATTTGTCTCTGATCATTTTCAATCGCACCCTTGTCACGCCTCTTACTTTGGTCACAGGCACGAAGCGTCCGACAGTTGGTCACGCGACACGCACTTTTTAGTTCCGCTTCAATTCCCAATTCCTCGTGAACCAGCGTCTAATAAACGTCTGTTCCATTGTTATACGCGTGTTGTAATCACCCGACGTTGTTTTACCTCTCCCTATCCATTCGGTGTACGCACAACTTTTACAGATTACGTTTAGATGAAAACGCTTGATTTACAAATGCCGATAAATCGTTTTCCAATAGCAACTGTTGTCGATGTTAACGCGGCTAGTCGGCTAGACGACTCGCATCCAAACATAATTCGTTTCAGTTCGATCGAAAAGTGTAGATTCCATTTGGTCGGTAAAGTAATTCGACGCAAATATTTGCGAGACGTACGCGTACACCCGTCGACTTATTTCTTTCGAAACCCTACGATACTTGTACTCCACTCTCAAATATTTGTCACTATCAACCTGCAAAAATATGAACGTTCCAACGGATAATCCTTGCAACGTTTATCATCGAAGCTCGTGGAATTATGATGCATGTATAAATAGCCGTCGTTTATTGCGCCGGTTGATAACGACGTTTCGGTTCTCCGTCGACGAACCAATCTGTCGCTAACGCGTTTTAGTTCGACGAGAGCAGTGTCTTTCGCGGTGGCGGATCGATACGTTGGCTACCTATTATTAGACGAGTCCGGTGGTCACGACGATTATCGCCTCGTAACGTTATCGTTGTTCCTTCGCTATCGCCGAGTCCTTGACGTTAACACGCCTACCCTTTCAAAGTAATTCACCCCGCCAATTCATCGACATCCTTCCAACGAACCGTGTATCGCTTAATTCACGAAAACGATCGTTGCTATCGTTAAACCAGCATGTAAAAGTTGTGTTTTTTTTTTTTTCTTTCATTTCTCCGTAACCTCCGCTAAACTTCCGTTAAACGATATTAGGTTAGGGTGTCGAGCATGCGTGTCGTTGTCCGAGCACGAATCGCGAGACGAATGTCTCGATGGCTGAACCGCAGGTGCCGTCGAGAAAGGACAAGGAAAGAGCGAGTCCGATTCGACGCAAGCTTCGCCAATATGTGCGCATGCATAATGCCAAGCATAACCGAGTAGTTTATTTATAACGTTGCGGAAATACACTCGACGCTTTTATTATTGTAAAATGTTGTGTAACGCTAGCCGTCAGCGTTATGTAACCGCGGGAACATGTACGTTTGCGAAAGAACGAGGTGGACGCGCGTTTAGCAATGTTTTTGCGTCGACGAGGAGCGGTGATTGTCAACTCAGGGCCGTCTTAACGGCGTCACAGGCCCGAGGGAAATCATTAATAAGCGATATTCGATCGAAATTGGATACAGATTACGAGAAACCGTGTTCGAAGACAAACAGATGATCGCTATTCGTACGAAGATTACGAACAAAGCAGAAGAATATAGTTGGAACCCTGCAGGGAGTCCCCATCCCACGTTGGCCCCCTTGTCTAACGGTCACGGATGTCTTTCAAATATTTCCATTACGAAAAACAAGGGACTCGTAGCCTTGAGATGGAGGGGAGGACGGAACGAGACGAACCGAGCCCCGAGGTAAGTTCACTCGTCGACTGTTTTTTGTCAAGCGACGATTCGAGGAAGAAACAATGGCGACAACGCTCGCGAGAGCAATACGTTCTCTGTCAACGGCGTACCGTAGTACATTTCGTCGCGAGAATCCGTTCGATTCGTCGAATGTCGCGTACTTGGTGGTACGAGAACCACCACCGAAAGCCACCATTGGTGGTAAAGCGAGGAAAGCGTGGCTGGGAATCGTCGCGGGAATAGTCGTCGGGTGTGGCGGGGTTTGCTACTTCCTAGATGAATCGGTCAAGGCGCACACCGCCACGATCTCGTTGCCAAGATATCCTTGGGAGTTCAAACGCGTGTTGAAATCCTTGGATCACGCCGCCGTGAGAAGGGGATGGCAAGTTTACAGAACCGTGTGCTACACGTGTCACAGCCTGCGATACGTTCGTTTCCTCGATCTGATCGACGTGACGCACACCACGGAGGAGGTCAAAGCTATCGCCAAAGAGTTCGAGGTTACGCGCCTTAATCACTTCCCTTTCCAATTTTCTTTTAATATTCGCACCGAGTATCGAAACGAACCACTTCTTTTCACCGCTTGCTATCTTTCACTTTTCACATTTCCCTTCGAATCTCCACTTTTATTTCTTGAACACTGTTGACGAGATCGCGATACGGGATACCGCTAGCCTATTTTTATGGAGAATTGACATTTTTTAAATTAACAAACGATCGGGAATAAATAATTGCTTTCTGTTGATCGTCGAGTGCAAATTCTATCGCATAGTTTAAAAAGAAGTCAAAGGAACGCGGTAGTCAACGACGTATGTATAGATTTGGTCGTAACGTAAATAAATGTTAAACTATTTCGACGGATTTTACGCTCGATCGTTAAGAACGAACGATCAATTATTCCCGAGCCTCTCTTAATTCACTCAAGAATTATTATTTATCGAACAGTACCTAAGACTTCAGAAATTACGAAGAGGCAAATTGCTGACGCATATGCAGTATATCAAAACAAACGATTGCCCTCGCGGTCAACGAATCGTTTCGCAACAGACCGCACAACAGTGTTTATCAAGTGAATGTGGAAATTTCGAGCACATCCTGTAAGTAAAATAAACCAAGCAACCATCTTCGCTATCAGGATACTATAGTCGCAACTGGAGCATTAGAACGCTCGAATAAATTCGTGTCGTTCGAATAATTCCTAATCGAAAATGTGAAAAATAGTTTATACGCTAGTCGAAAAATAAAAATTACAAACTTGGGTAATATTATAGAATGGAAAATTTCGGAATGGATTACTCAAAATTGCGTGTTGCTTTTATCCGTTACTCGATTAAAATTCGGGGAATCGTACGAGTTTTACTTGTAACAGGTGGATGATGGGCCCGACGAGGGGGGCAACTACTACAAGAGGCCAGCGAAACTGTCCGACAGAATCCCATCACCGTTTCCGAACGAGGAAGCAGCCAGGGCAGCAAACTTCGGCGCTTATCCACCGGATCTTTCGCAACTGATTTATGCGCGAAAGCACGGTACCGATTACATGTTCTCCTTGCTGACTGGCTGGTACGAGCCGCCAGCAGGCGTGCGTTTAGGCGAGGGTCAACAGTTTAACGTTTACTTTCCCGGAGGTATCATCACGATGGCGCCGGTAAGTTTGACGTTGACGTTGACGTTGACGTTGACGTTAACGAAACAAATGCCAACAATAAAATAGCTCAGCCAACGTTTTTATGTACTTTTAATAATAGAAGTTATAGGAAAGTGGCAAACGCGCTACTTCTTTCCTACTTTCGCAGATGTTCTTCGAAGGATGCGTCGAGTACGACGACGGCGTACCAGCCACCGAGTCGCAAATGGCAAAGGACGTGGTGGAGTTTCTTTTGTGGACAGCGTCGCCCGAGCACGATACGCGCAAGATCATGACCCTCAAAGGTATAGGAATCTTTCTGATGCTGTTAATTACGATTGGGCATATCGTAAGGCGGCACGGCTCGCACATGACAAGTCGACGCATAGCCTACGTACCGAAACGCACCTGTTGACCTACGGGACACCCATTTTATCGCTAGACGAAATGCCAACGGAACCAAGTAAACAAACATCTGGCAATGTTTGTCAGCTATAGCAATCGAAAAGGATATTTCAGCGATCCCCTTTCCAAAACTACCGTTCTTTTTTCTTAAACGGTCGATTCAATTATTTCCGCTTTCGAGGGTGAAAACTGGAAACGTGAACGTACTCCAAAGCTGATTCAGTAGAGATTCTGAACTCGAGATGTGACGGAGCCACGGGTTAACCGTCTGACGAGAAAAGCGAAAGGATTACAGCGAGAGCGAGCGAGATAGATCAACGAGTCGACGAGTCTCGCGTTACATGCGCTTCGGGGCAAAACTTGAAAGCAATAAGCGTTTGTTTACACAAGTCTCATGCGCGAGAGAACGGCGACGCGTGGATTTATTTACGCGTGTTCCGTTCCCACCTATTTGACCGCGAAATAAATTTCATTCGCTCGTAGACATCGCGTGGTTACTCGAGCGAAATTATCGATAAAAATAACGTGGATCAATGGGCATTATTTACGTTTGGAATCGATGACCCTGTATCGATCCATTCCGAGGACTGGAATACCCTTAAAGACCACGTATAAAAAAAACTGCGGGGGCCGTTGTTTCATAATTTCACGTTTCTTGTCGTTAAGTAATACGAGTATATAAAGTGGTGCGGTATTTATGCAGAAATAAGTTTCGATATATTTTGTCAATAAATAACATTTTGGTAATGACAAAGTGATCGTTATTTTTCTTGGTAGGAATAGGAATAGGAAAGTCTAACGTCGATTCCTAGTGACTATCGACGCGTTAAGGATTGCATTATTTCACTGGTTCCAGGTCGATTAGTGATCAACGAGCACAACGCGGTCGAGAGCTCGCGCGCGATTAGGGGGAAACGCAAACGATAGAGAACCGATCGCGCCTCCACTGATTGTCAGGTCGGCTCGTATCGTCTCGGTCGGTCGATTCGGCTCGGTTGGTACTTAGTTGGTGGCGCGGTCGTAACATGTGCCACCGATAATCGTTTCGCAACGCCGCGCGGCCTTGACGATGCCCGTATACCCGATCGGGCCGTCTAATAATAGAAATCTCGAACCGTATGTCCGTGCGACAAACGTTGCGCCGCCGTGGCGCGCGATGTCCCCTCCCTCCCCCCCCCCCGCCCCCCGCTCAACGGCATCGTCGCAAAATCATTGGCTTCGAAACGACGAACGACCGATGGATGACGGATGACGGATGACGCATGACGGATCACGGATCACGACGATCGACGATCTATTTCGGATCGAAAGATCCCCGCTACGTTTCGATATTTATTTATACCTGTCCGTTCGTCATCATCCCTCGGCCCCCACCCGTCCACAACACCGCACGACCGGGTCGGTAAATCGTTCGAGCTCCGAAATAGCTACTCGTCGAAAATAATAACTACTCTGCGCGTCTCGTTCCCTCTCTTGCTACGCTCGTTTCATCTGCAGATCTCGTCTACTCCTTTGCTAACTCCTTTCAGGCCTTTACACGGTTACGTTTATTATATCGTATTTCGCAAGGTATTCACACACTGGAATTACGCGATTTTATGCACAGTATTGGATGTAGTTGAAAAATAGGAAAATCTTGAATAGAATTATGGTAATAAAAGTTTTGATAGATTTCGATGTCTTGGGACAACCAAGTAAATTTGTTCCATTTTCAGATTATACGGATAAACAGATACTTATACAGATACTTTCTCGACCGTCTTGGCTACTCTATCTAGGTGTATACACACGTATGATCTCTTTGGTTGCGACGCGTGGTAGTCGCATCGATGATCTATGCACGCGCACGACTTGCCCCGACGCTCAATGGCAACAAGTGCGATCGCGAAAGGGAAGGGGTGGCACGGATCGAAAATATATACCAAACGATGAATGAAACCTCCGCGTTGACGTCGAGAGCGCGCCAATGATTCCCCGATCAGCCGTAAAGCGAAAGCTGTTGGCGTTCGCCAACGTCCCCGCTCTGCCCGGGACCGAGCGACCATGGAATCACAGAGTGTCTACTTTTACAGAGGCGAAACTCTTGTCGGAATCTTTCACGTTCAGAGCGTAACAAAAATTAACACTCGGTAACTTTCGGACGTGAATCTTTGCATCTAAATCGGTATACATTCGTTGATCCGTCGAACAACAAATTTTTATTTTATTTTTGCTCTAATTTAATACACGCAAACCAAAGCAATTTTTATGTGTAAAAATCCCTCCCCTTACCCTATCGTCCCTCAATAAAATTACACGCTCCTACCGCGGTCACGTAGTTCTCTTTAGATTTTCACGTGACCGTCTCACGGAACGCACGATGTCCAGTTCGATGCACGAATCTATGTAGTACGCCATCTACGATCCCTCTATGGTGTCTATAGTTCGAAAAAAGTACGCACGGTCAGCCGACGATCGCGCAGCACTAACCAACGACTCGCTTAAGGTTTGTTTCCACCCAACATAAAGTCATGGCTTTTAATGCCGTGACATTCAACGTAACTTAATTGTCGCGATATAAATTTGTTACTTACCGACGAACATTGTGACTCGGTACACGAAGTCTCTCCGTTTATCATTTTCTCTTTTCATCGCGAAAATTTAATCTACGATCGTAATAACGCCAACGACTATTTAGAAATTACTCGAGATGGAAATAATAGAAATTAAGAATAAAATGGTTCGACCCAATTTGCAACTAAATAATTGGTCGTGATGTTTATGTATTTTACTTTTGCTGTAGTAGTAATTAGACTGTGGATTTTATATCGAATACATGTATTCTACAATTAATATACTAATATTTTCATTTCATTTTGTACAAGTGCATAAAATGCATAAAATGCATAAAATGCATAAAATGCATAAAATCCGCAGTCTAGTAATAATAATACGTCTTCGTTGCTACTTATGTCACGGAATTAAAAGTGCATAGCCCGTAACACGTGAAAATGAGCCATTATTTTTGCCGATTCTCCTACTCGAAGATGCGACGACGCCACCAAGCGGAACGAACGAGAAAAAAGAAACGCGCGAGACTTACCTTTGGTCGCAACGGCGCTCGTTCGCGGTTGCTCGCTGGACATTCTGTTTTCTCCAACATTCACCGTACCCTGCATTTACCGTCAACGTCGCAACGTCGTAACCCTCTTCCTTGTTCGACGCATACGTCGTTTCCTGAAATGCAAATATTTTTCTACATATTTTTTTTTTTCTACATTTCATGGCTGACGCGACCTAATCGTGAAATTAACCACCGAGTCGAACCTTGCCCGTGACGCACAGTTAAGACGCGTCGTTTTTGGCACCAACTATCGACGGAAACATCGCGCTTCTCGTCTAGATTTATTTACATCGCGGGACAAAATGATGATCCACCCAACGTTTTTCTTTATATTTCAATAGAAACGTTATTAACGTCTACATTTCGCGAAGCCCGTATATCGCACTTCTCGTTTTATATAAACAGCCTGAAAATCGCTTTATCTGGAACCTGCTCTACGAGGATTAGGAAAATAAGCATAAACCGAAGATAAACTCGATGGGATAAAAAGATGAAAAATCTGGGCATCCCTAACACTGGTATAAACACGTGTAAATACATTTGTTTACAAGATGATACTAGAAACTAGGACAAGCTACAACAAACGCACTACCAGAATTGTAAACCACCAAAGCACGCGGATATTCGAATAAAGAAAAATTCGATGAGGCGTTCCACGTCTATTCTCGGAACTTTATCCATCTATTTTGGAACAAAGTGCCTCCCTCTCCTCCCTCACACCCCCCCCCCCCCCCATTCACACACACCGAATTCCATGACGATCTTTCGAACAGTCGTTCGGTAATCGCGTGAAACAGATTGCTCGTCGATGCGGATCAGGCGGCCGATATACCCGATGAGAAAGTAGGAAGAGGCAACTAGTTGTCGATTCACCCGATGATCGGCGGGATTTTCCTAATCTATTTGCGCTCGACATCGAAATGCGAACCGTCAACTACAAACTTCCCCAACGTCCACCAGCTTGCCTTATTCTGCGATTGGGAATACTCGTTGAATTTGTTGTATTCTACTATTAGAATTTCACGACGAATATAATTCGAATATCGATGCGAAAACTACCAAGATTAACGCGTACCTATCACACGTACAATTATGTATGTGAGATTAGAAAGAGAGAGAGAGAGAGAGAGCGCAAACTAACGGATCGATGAAATTAATTCTCTGTTGTAATAGTTGTCCCCAAAAATTCGATACGACCATTATTAATAATCGAGTGATCTTTAACACAACGCGTCAACATTCGAGTAGTCTCAGCTCCGATCCGCAGTCGAAAGGTAAAGCAGCGTACTTTTCTTCTTATGATCCAAGGATGGTAACCCTAGTTGCGTCTACTAGGTATGTTGCCCGCGTGTTTTACATCCCTTTCGTATGTATGCGCGGATAAACACGGAAGATACAACGTTGTGTTCGCGATTCGATTCAAGCCGATTATTAAATATGTAATGAAAGTTGCTATACGAACGAGCCACATTGATCGCTGTTCTGCACACCAGTATGCGACACGCGCGCGTTCGCACACACTCGCCTCCATCATTTATTCCAGTGATTCTCAAGTAGCGTTCCATCGACGGTCCCCGAGCTCTCCGAAGAAAATTAACACGAACCTCGCGCTAGTTTTCGGTACATCGTTTTCACAGTTTTTAATTACTTAAAAACAAAAATGATAAAAGTAATCGTTATAAATCAGCCGAAGAGAAAGGGTTTCGCGATACATATAAATTAAGTGCAAAAAACATAAAATAAAGCTAAATCGTAAGGACTGCGATAAATGTTAGGAAACCTAAGATTGAATCGAATTTTGTCATTTTTAACCTGATTCTGTAAAGTGTAATTGTATTTCCTTTCGAGATGTTGGGAAGCCTTGCGAACGCATTCGCGGGCCCCAGGTTGAGAAACGCTGCCCTCTTGTATTCCTGGATGTGGTAGTTCGAACAGGAAGTCAAATACGAGTTTGAGTCGGAGTTCGCGGACTATTGGATAAAATGTCGATAACGAACGTCCATGGTTATGGGTTTCTCGCTACCGATAGAATGATCTTTTTCCTAGGCAACGCGCGTCGCGAATCGACAAAAAATATACCGAGTTCGGAACGAGTATATTCGTCCATATTAGTTTCGATAAATGGGACAAATTAATAAAGTAAATTATACAGAGGGGAATAATTCATGCCTTTATCTGGTATTATATATTTCCATCGAATGAGACAAATATTTGCCCAAATATTTGCGTTCTTGGCGAACAAATCGTCTTCTCGTAGTCTGAGCAACAAAAGCGCCAATATCATTTACATAATAACAGATGACAAAACGGATAAAACGATGCAGGTGAGAGTGTATTGCTACCACTGGTTTACGGGTACTTTGACCTTGAATGGGAATTAGGGAAACACTAGAGATGCTGGGAAATGGACTCGTTTCGTTGCCGGAGATCGAGCTTGGACGATTCCCCGCCATCGGCGTGTGTCAGAAACAGGCGTTTTCTTCATTGGAACGACAAACAACTAATGAGACCAATTCGCAGCGATTTATTCGCGACAGTTCAAGTTAAACGGTTAAGTAAAAATCTTTTTCTCTCAATTTCCGTTGTGCTTTGCAAATTATTTGTGCGTTACAACAAACTACGCGAGAAAAAATTGCTCCTCGTAATGTTACGCTTCGAATATTGCCGCTCTTTACATTGTTTTCGCAGTGTCTTTCTTCCCTCCTTTATCTACCGGCCGATAAAAAGTGATGCAGATATACATCTGCAAAGACCC